GAAGGAAGGAAGGAAGGAAGGAAGGAAGGAAGGAAGGAAGGAAGGAAAGAAAGATAGATTATAGAATTATATTTTACTGAATATAAAAATACTCCAAACCATTTCATGTTCATTGCTTTTTATAAGACCTAAAGACTTTGCTATGTCAAGGTTTAATTCTTTCATTTCTTCATGAAGGGACTTGGGACAACTAGGGAGCAGCAACAGGCCTTTATTTTTACGCCTTCAACAAATAGTAGGGCTGACCCATGGCCTGTGGGTTAAAAAACACATCTACAGAATGCTACCTTCCTCTGGAAATGTGGCAGAGAGAATTCTGTACTGGGGTAGCAGGACAGGCAAATGCTCAGCCCCCTTGGACTGTACCCCCAAATCAAGGAGGGAAAGCATTTGAAACCCAAGGGGGAAAGGTGCCAACAGGAAAAAAAAGATAGGGTTCTACTACTCCCCATCATGCCCCACTTCTCCTTTGACTGCAGTTTTTCAGCGGGAAGTGTTGAGCATTCTTCTTGTCCCATGTTACCTTTTTAGTTATGAATGCTGAAAGTGATCTTACATGCGAACCCAAGTGCAGAGAGAGTACAGTCTTTATTTCAGTAAACAATATCAGTGTTTAAACAGAGATTTTAAAAAGTCTTAATCTTATGGGGGTATTTGGATTTTTAATAAAATACACCCTTCCAGTTTGGAGTCTTTCTTTCAAAGCCCATACACACACACACACCATTGGAAATGACAACCATCTGCAAGCAATCTCTCTCCTGCTATCCATCTCATTAACCACCAAGTCTTCCTCGCTTCACCTAATCAAGCACCAACTACTGCATTATTTATGAAAGAAAACTGAATTTCATTAAACTCTCACTAGGGCCTCCAGATTCTTTTTTTTTTTTTTAATGTTCCCATCTTTCCAAAATTCTAGGCATTTTTACAAAGTGTACCCTTTCCTTCATAATTATACCAAAAAAACCTGCCAAAAAGGGGAGGGGACAGGAAAGAGGGAGAGAGGGAGAGAGAGAGAAGGGAAGTAATACTTTACATTAAGTTTGGCTTTGATTTTTATTGAATTAAGAAGCCGGATGTTTTCTGGAGATCCAATAAATTATTCAGAAAACTCCTTCAACAGTGCCTCTTTCAGTAGTCAGAACCCAAATGGTAGCTCGGCTTTGAAAAATTAACTGTCTCCCCAGAAATATTATTAGATTATCCTGATTGCTAGTGAGTTTATAACAAAGTCTTCAGGAGTGGTAACACCTGTCCGATCTTGGAAGCTAAGCAGAGTCAAGCATGGTTAACTTCTTGGATGAAAGATATCCTATGAAAATCAGAGCTATAATTCAAGAAAGCAATGAAAAGCTATAGTTACACAACTGTCAACAAAACTGGTAAGAACCACTATTACATAATAAAATCAGAGTTTTTAAAAAAAGAATCGCAAAAGATTCATTATAGCTTCCATACAAAAAGTAGAAGGCAGAAATGGATTTCAAGAGAAGTATAACCAATCTTTTCTTTTGAAACACTTACAATTTTTTATAAATATTCTTGGCCTTTAAACTTCACTGATTGTCCCAGTTATTTGAGGGACACCAAGACGGTTCAATATCAACTAAAAACACGTGAGAGAAAAAATGGAAGCGGGAATTTGTTACCCGAGGCTACACTCTTGTCTTTCAATAAGAATGTCAGTTTATGAGGAAACTAAGTTAAAATTGAATGGCTGTACAGTTGGCAGGGAACAAAAATCCAGATTTTTTACTGAGACCAAAAGAGACATTTACAAGGTCATCAGTTTTAGAGGCTGTTTAGGTTTTGAAGGTGCTCCCTGAAGCTGGTAGAAATCAACAGTGCAGAAATTAAATCAAATTGAATGAAAGACTAAGCTGGGGTAGAAAGCTCTAACAGGTGCTAGCAACTCAGGTAGGAAATTTCAAATGGAGGAGGTCCAGTCCTGCCACAGAAGGAATTTACAGACATTGCTGTCCTTCTGCTAAAGGGCACACAGGTGCCATCTGCCATCCCTCTCAATCCCCATGAAATAAATGTTCTTGTAGAGAGGGGGCACAACAAAATCATTTCGCCTTTAGCCTCAGCATAGTTCTTGTCCAAATCCCTCCCCCGAGATATGAACCTAGACAAGAGATTTGGAGAGAAACAAAGAAGAGATCATATCATTAGTTCAAAGTAGGGATGGGATTCTACCAGTTCGCACCTATTCGCTAGAACCGGTTGTTAGCATTCTAAGCAGTTCGGAGAACCAGTTGTTAGAAGAAATTACTGGCCTAATCCTGTAAGAAAGGCAGGAAGGAAACATTCCGGGGTTGCTTACAGAAACTGCCTCTCCGTTAACCCTTATTACATTCTTGGCAGGACTAGACTTCTTGTCTCAGGAACCTCTCTGGAATTTTTCCCCCTCCTTTGCTGGTACTTTGCTTGTGTGGAGTGACCATTTAAAGTTACAATGGCACTGAAAAGAGTGACTTATGACCATTTTTCATACTTATGACTGTTACAGCATCCCCACAGTCATGAGAAGCCAGGTGAGGAGATGGTGCCTCGATGTGAGTGATATTGAGTTGGCCACACCCAGCCAATTACATGACCACCAAGCCACGTCCACCCAGTCACATGACCACCAAAGCCACACCCACCACCTAAGCCACGCCCACAGAACCGGTTGATTAAAAAAATGGAATCCTACCCCTGGTTCAGAGCTTGCCTGTTCCCAACAGATGGCTTATATGCTTTTGTGTCAAGGAGATGTAATACCTCCACCTCTTTGCATTTTGGGCCCTACCTTTCTAGCTAACAAACCTAGAATCAGACAATGAATTTTCTCGTGGCCTCTTATTTGTCCACGATGAGCAATACAGTATATTTTAAGAATAAATAGCAAGAGAATTCTAGAAGTTAGCTGTGGTGATCCACTGTGATCCACTCCTCTATTCACAACAGAATTACCCCCGTGATGGCGAACCTATGGCACACGTGCCACAGGTGGCATGCAGAGCCATTTGTGCCGGCACGCAAGCTGCAAGCAAACTTATCTCACTGCACATACATGCGCCTCACAGCTGATTTTCGGCCTCCCAAAGGCTTGAGGAAGGCTTCTGCAGGCTGAAAACTAACCCCGTTTCATCACTTCCTTTTTTTCCGAAAATACCGGAAGTGATGAAATGGGGCTAGTTTTCAGCCTGCAGAAGCCTGAGAAGCCTTCCTCAAGTCTCTGGGAGGTCGAAAAAGGCCTCAAACTGGCCAAAAAGACTTGAAATTTTAGGCTTAGATAACTTAAAACTATGCCACCTTTGGTCTGACCTAAGCGTAGTACATAAAATTATCCATTACAATGTCCTACCCGTCAATGACTACTTCAGCTTCAACCTCAACAATACACAAGCACACAAGCACACAACAGATACAAACTCAGGGTAAACCACACTAAACTTGATTGCAGGAAATACGACTTCAGCAACAGAGTGGTTAATGCCTGGAATACTCAACCTGACTCAGTGGTTTCTTCCACTAACCCCAAACACTTTAACCTCAGCCTGTCTACTGTTGACCTCACCCCCATTCCTAAGAGGTCTGTAAGGGGTGTGCATAAGTGCACCAATGTACCTACTGCCCCTGTCCATGTTCCTTTTTATTCATATCTATTTCATGTATTAATCATGTTTATACTTATATTATCAAATGCATGCTTGACAAAAAAAAAAAATCAGTGACTGCTCAACGTTCTCAGTCTTGGATAACAAAGGAGAGAACCATAATTTTAACATCTCACTTTGCAAAAATGCTATATTTATAGTGTCCACTCTGGGTGGAAAGTTGGAGTCCTATTGCACCAGGTTACATTATGCTGAATGATAATTCTCAGCCTCTGAGCATTGCAATTCTATGAACATCTCCAGCGTTTCTCAGTCTTGGCAGTTCGAAGATGTGTAGACATCAACTCCCAGAATTTGTCAGCCAGCTATATGTTGGCTGGGGAATTCTAGGAGTTGAAGTTCACATATCTTCAAGCTGCCACGGTTGAGAAAGTCTGATCTAGGATCTTCATAGACAGGAGGGTGGGGGGAATCTCTGAAGTATCTGTGAAAAGGAAGACAGCCTATCACTTGATACTAAAAATAAAAAGGATACTATCTCAGCCGAGTTTCATATAAAGACACATGCTGCCAAGAGAGACCAGCATTTTTTCTGGCTTCCCATCACGTTATTCTCCCCCCACCCTCCCCAATGTATATGTCAATGGTATTTTTTTAAAAAAAATACTATACTCTCAAAGATGCTCGGAGATTATTTTACAAAAGAATTGCCACTGGAAAGGAAAGTCAAGGACAAGAAAACCAGTTTGCATTATGTTAAAAGCATGCATTTTTTTCCTCCTGCTTAATTTTGCAAACATCAGGAGAGATGTGAACAATGTATAGCCGGAGTGCAATTTAATGAAATTTCAATGAATCCACTGCATGTTTTACATACAAATAAATTCATACAAAAACAATCATAAGGAAGCTTGATTTTCCACCATAGCTGCCTTGGTATTACTTTTAAAAATATGAGGAGGCAGAGTGTATGAAATGCTATGTTCTATAATAACCCTATCTAAACTCATAATTTTCCTTTCTGACACGTCTCATGGGGCCAGTCACCAAGAAAAAAGATTTTCTCCTATTCATTCCACAATCAGTACCTTATAGTAGTCCTATATCCTATCACATGGTTTCTTAATCTTGGCAATTTGAAGATGTGTGGACTTCAACTCCCAGAATTCCCCAGCCAGCATGTCTGGCTGGGGAATTCTGGGAGTTGAAGGCCACACATCTTCAAGCTGCCAAGATTAAGAAACACTTGTCCTATCAAATCAGATAAGTACAAACAGTACTGCAGAAATGGGACAAGGGGAAGGTCCATTTCAATGTACCTCTATT